TTATGAATGTTCTTCTCATGTTATCGAAAAGTCACTTATGGAGTTGCTCTAGAGTTGTGATGAATAGGATATATGAATCGAGAATTGAAAGCTCTTTGTAGCTATAATCATATGTTCAAATATGATTATGAACATTCTTCTTAATTTTTAACGATAATGAAGATAAATACTCAATTTTTTTTTTTTTAATCAGATAGACACACACCAGGCGACAGAGGTATCGATTGGATAGGAGCTGGAAAGGATATACAATAATCATCCAATGCAAGGTATATTTGGGCGCCTAATACTAGTCTAGCAAGCGATATAGCAATGATCTTTAACAATCTTTTTTTATAATTAGTGAATATTAATCTTCTTTTAATGTATTTTTTAATATCATTATTGCTAATTATAAAAAAAATTAATTAATGATAATTACTATATCACCCATGTTTGTTATTATATTTGCATTAAATATCCCAAAAGATATAATTTAATTTAATTAATTTTTTTTTATTTTATAATGATAAGGATTGTGATAAAATTAGGCCTAAGATAGTTCATGAAATTGAAGGTGTATTGTCAAGATTCAGTAAAATAGAAACCATCGGTATTTTAGTAGCTCCATCAAAGAATAATTTTACTCAGAATTCAATAGATAGAGTGGAATCATCTGAATTCAATCTTATCTTTATAGATGAAAAATATTTGAGTTTGGATTTGATTAAATTTATTAAGAGTAAAGAATTGAATCAACTCAATGTAATGAAGAGTTAATTCAACAAATCGAAATCATAGAGCAGAATGAAAGCTCTAACAAATTTAAATCTGTAATTATCATACTTTTATTATTTATTTCTTTTATTTTAACTTGTATATGTTTTAAATTATAATTTTTTATTTGTATAATTTTTATTTTTTTTTGGATTTAATATTAATTAAGTATTATACAATACGTATGAAAAATGGAATCTTGTTGCATTGTGTTGAAAACCAAATAAGAAGGAATTTTTCTAGGTATTTAATTTATTGGACAACTGATTTCCTCATTGCGTATATTTTCTTTGTTATCGAGAATGCTGATGATTATATCACCAAATACAGCCACCTCGAATTCACCATTATATGCTATGCTATTTCGATTAATTTATAGACAAATAAATGGAATAGGATCAACTTCATATATCATAATAATTGTATAAACAACATAAACAACTAAATTTCAAATTTAAATTTTAAATTTAAATTAGAAAATAGCAAAATTTAGATTGAATAAAATAATTAAAAGATTGCCTCAATAAAAAATTATTTACGAGTAAACGTATTATATTAAAATATATAAAAACTTTTCGTCAAAAATATCAATTGAATCAATATTATATTTTCTATTCTTGTAGTACACTTAGAAATCTTTGATAGAACTAAAACCTATTAAAAAATATTTGCTT